ATGTATGTACGTACATATGTGATTGCAAGTATGTCTCTATCTGATTGTGAGTGTCTGTTGCTTCTGATCAAGACGTGTATATATGTTTAAAATTAACCCTGACTTATCACAAGAAGACTATGATAGAAAATACTCAATTTAAAATAGCTTTTTACCTGGATGGAGAGATCTAGTAAGACAATATTAATTTCAGTGAAAGGCAGTTGGATTGCAAACATTGTTAAAATAAATCACACCGAGATTATATTCACATTCTTCGTATGATGACTTTATTTCTTTCATTTGCGTTGCCGCAGGTTTTTGTACGGCCCGAGTATAATGAACACCGTAATGTGCAACGCATCGACCCAATTTCATTGTACGAGTTCCTTCTCCTGCAGTAAATATTCCAAAGCACATTTAGAAACCATAGTGAACTACTAAAGCTTTTACGGAATACATTCAAATTATTTTAATTTTAAAGTGCACATTTAGATAACAATGAACGAATCAAATGCCTATACAGCAATCAAAATATCGCTCCAAGGCAATTCGTGAGCGAAAGTGACTTTCTTTTCGTATTAATAACCAAATGCTTATTTTTTGTACGGATTGCTCTCGTTCGTCAATACATCTGAAAGTTTTGTAACACATATAAAAAATATACTTTTACTACTTTTTTCGCCAAGCACATGAATAATGTTAATTTTGTTTGCAAATATTGACATTATATTTGCAACACTATCGCTCGTGTTAAATAATTGTTATAAAATGTCAATTCGCCGGTATTTAATGACACCGACATACAGATTTTATTATGCGATCATTTATTTGAAAGTTAGTAGTAGTTATAATCTCATAATTAGTCAATTTAATCGAGAAAAAAGGAATATTAAATTAAAAAGGTTAAAGTTCTGAATGTGATGACATTTTATGAATGCACTAACGTATCCTGTGATTATATTTGTGTTAACTAATAATATACTATTATCTCGATAAGGCAATATTAATAAATTTACATATAGAGATTTAGATAATAGATGTAATCAATCATTCAAAATTGTGCAACTGCCTTAATCAAAATCTTCAAGTAGTATACGACGCATCTTGGAAAATGTTACAAAATAATTGCTTCAAAAGAAATCCAAGATATTGTATAATTCTTAAATTTCTGAAGTTCCTTATACATACATACATACATACATACACACATATATATATATATATATATATATATATATATATATATATATATATATATGTATATAGTTTCACGCGTAACTATGCTTTTAGATACAATAGAGTAACTTTTCGTTAACAAAACTTAATATTTTCATGCCCGATCAAGCACATGACTTTGTGAGCAATAAACTTCACATTATTTTATAACACATCTAATGATCAAATATAAACTTTCAACAACTATGATGCAAAGATATAAAAGTTATAGAAGAGGTCGTACAACGCTTTTCATAATTGTCATTTAAACATATAATAATAAATTTTCAAAGAACAATATGAGCGGCACATGTTATTGCATCAGGAAGAAGCTTATAACTTCTCGGTCACGACATATATTCACAAATGTGTATATATATATATATATATATATATATATATATATATATATTCTTCCTCAACAATTTTCTGTGTAAAAACGAGCATTTATATAATTGATACAAAATAAAAAATAGCATAAGCAATACGCTAGAAAATGACTTCAAAATCATATACATTCCAGCAAATCATCTCGGCAGCACGTAGTTAGACTCGAAAATGCACTTTGATTGCAAGTTAATATACTCTATAAAAGGTATATATTCGTTTACTTTGAAATATTTTTTAAGGGAAATTATCAAAATAAATTTAGACATTTAAAACTTCATATGTTAATCTGTCTAAAAGTACGTTTCTAAATAATTTGTAGTATTATAATTTTAACCAAATACTTTCGTACACATATAAATCAAATAGATGAAAAACTAGAAATAGAAAAAAAAGATGAAGTCGAATTAATTTTATATTTGTTTAAACTCTGAATATTCTTAAAAAAATATTACCTTAATATAAGATACATTTTAATATAAATTAAATGGACAAAACCGCTTTAAAACTTTGTTTGCACATAATGCAAAATATGCAACTATATTTTTATGCTTAAAATATAACAAATTATATTTTAATTTATTATTCATGCATAAATTTTTCTTCCTTTCTTTTGTTACTCTTTCGTCTGACAAAGAAAAGTCTTCTGGGATTTTGATAAATCTTCGCATGGTGATAGAGTTAATAGTCAAACCGAACGCCTTAAAATATTTTAGGCCTATGAGAAGTGGTTTAATTTTGAAAACTAATTTAGGTTTAAGAAAATGGCCAGCGCGCAGTACATATGAAATTAATTATTAATTATAAATTTTTAATGTAATATTTAAGTATACAAACATATAGAGCATAAAAAGTGGTAGTATATCGCACCAACTAGGGTTTGTCGCTTTTCAAATTTTTTTGGCAAATATTATGAAATTCGAACACCGTTTTTTAGTGAAAAAAGTCGGTTTTCACTGTATAAATGGAAAATGACAAATATAGCCAAATATAAAAGATAGATGAAAGCGTTTTGATTCTTGAAATCATATCGGTTTAATAACATTTGATATCTTATCAGTTTGCAATGGTCCACAGAAAGGTTTTGTATATATTTATTTAGATTTTTTATACTAGAGTATATTTGAATTTAAATCAGTGTGACTTTTTCTTGAAGAAATAACTTCCTCTACTCAACTCAAATAAAAAAAAGAGTTTTAAACCCTAGAAGCCACAAATAAAAGAAGCAAAAGCTTAGAATTATTATATCAGGATTTAAAAACAATTAAGCATAATTTGGTCCCAAGTATGAGAGTATTTTCTATTTCAGTTGCAATTCGATAGACGTTCTCAGTTTTTGAAATCATATTTTATTAAACAAATAAAAAACAATTAGAATGTTTAAAATTACTTAATTAAAATTGCTCGGAACAGGCAATACCCGAGTTTAGCTTAATTGTTTTTAAAACTAAAATTAATATTAACAAGTATGTATCAACATGTATCTATTTTTTTATTTTATTATATTATTATTTTTATTTATTCGAAAACTTTCCTTTCACTATCATAAAAATATTTGCATTCTTATATGTGTAAATGATGCATAAATAACAAATAATTATTTTCAAAGTTATTTAATCAAGATAAACTATTATTTTTTAGTTCTACTAATTAAAATTAAAATAATTTTGTTTACTATCCTTAAAATTGAGCAATAAATAAATTCAGTCAAATACTGCTCTAAATCACACTAAATTTGCGGAAAAATTACAGAATATTCGAGCAAAAATTTATTTCCTATATAAAATTCGAAAACCGGCTAAAACCGGTTTTTTAGCAAAATTAAAATTCGAAAATCGGTTTTCTGAAATGTCGGTTTTTGTATAAACCCTAGCACCAACCCAATACGCTACCGAGACATATTGACATAATATTAATAAATAATAAATAAGTCACTATTATCATATAACTTTAAATAGCCATATAAATTAAATCATTTCAAATAAATCAAACAAAATTATGCAATGGAATTAGCCAAAACTTTCAAATACTAGTTGGCATCGTAGTTATTATTTCACCTATCCGAGTGAGATGATTTGCCGGAAATGTATATGTCTTTCAAATAAATAAATTGAACTCACCGAGTCGGGAGACCAGCTGGACGACGATGCTCTCCCCGGCGACGGCCCAGCGCACTTCGAAGGCGATACCATCGTGGAGCACCTCGCAATTTAGCTTGGACTGCAACCAGAATGTCAACGGGTCACAAGGCGTGAACCGTTTCCTTTTTTTCTTCCTATCACTAAACTATCACAATCCTACACCGGCGAAGCAACAAATAACCGGTATTTGTGCTAAACATTACTAAAGGCGATATTACGATGTGAGTTCAAATCGTAATTGAAAATGCTCTCATAAATACTTTATGGCTAAACTCATGAACTTTTTAACTAAACCAAACTTTTAAAACATATTAATGTAAAACGATCACATAAATTCAAATATATAATTGAAACCTAAAACTATCACTTTTATCACTTAAAAAACGGAGTATAATTATATATATATATATATATATATATATATATATATATATATATATATTGCCACGGATTGTCATTATAGATTGTCCAAAGTATAAGAGCCAATACTTTCCATTTCAAAAATAATTAAAAGCAAGAAATGCATTAACGTATTTTAATAAGTATAATTAATAATAAATAAAACGTCACTGAAACATCGAATCACAAACTGTAAACTGTTGACTAACAATTCCCTATGCAATACAAATGTGACAAAATATCGTAAATATATCTGAGAATAATTAAATTTTTAATTAAAATTGTAAGAACTGTAATATTATGCGACAATTTAGGTCATTATAATTTAATACTCCCGGTTTTATATTTAAGCATATTTACATAATTTAATGAATTTGCATTTAATTATAATATATAAAGACCAAAAAGCGTGAAAAATATACATTAGATGAAAAAATAGATTAAATGATATAATATAATTAAATGAAAATAAGCACCCGATTTATTCACAGCAATTTCCCATAACTGTTGATTCACTGCGTTTAGCTTGAACAGATTTTACTAACGATTCTTATCGTTAGAAACATAATTTACACTATTGTTAATATACAAATGCAAGCTAAATTGTTTGTTACATAAATAAATTTAAGATACAATGTATTAGCAATATTTTGGCTGGTTACGTTTGATAAAAACTGTACAAATGATATTACAAAATTATATATTTTTATATAAAAATACAATATATACATATAATACAAATAATAAAGTCAGTATATATCATATGAATGAAATGAGATAATAGAAAAGAACTGGCCAATATGAGAAAGAACTAAACTACTATCAAAAGTGCATGCATTAATAATTAAAAATAAATATAATGTTACAAAATGCGCGATGATTCAAAATATATTGTGTAATGTAATGGCTGTTTATGTGCTTATATAATAGCTTATTCCATTCAGTAAATCGACACACTAATTTTACGCGGAAGAGAAGATCTTCGAATTTGAAGCACTATTAATGTTGAGTCCATGTTGAGCAATTCGTGTGTGACTGATCGTGAGTACAATAACTATCAAGAAGCTATCATTAAGTTTTCTGCAAAAAGGAGACAACACATTTCTTTGAATTTTCTGTGCATTTGTTTTTATTTTTCTTTAGGCAATCACTTCATGTTATTAAAAACCATTCCGCATGCTAATTATAAACACACGATTATTGTGAGATTATTATAAAACACCATTCAATAATCCTCCGACCATGTTTCTGTGACATAATTGACGCCAACGTAAATTTTTAAATCAAGACAATAACTCGTCAGCTCACTAGCTGTTATCAATCGAAAATTTACGCAAGCATTTTACCGGTCACCAAAACTATGGAAGAAAATTATGCCCAAGCGTCTTAGCTTGGCATTTATATCTTATATAAAACTAATTATTTGCTTGATCTTTCCTGGCCATATGAATGCGCATATCCATAAATACTCGGAAAACATACTAATATGTACGCAGCTGTGCTGTACGGTGGTATAATTATTACCCTACGCGGATATGTCTGATGTAATACTTTCTCTGTGACTCGGCGGAGTCTTCTTCCTGAAGATGCACACAGCACTATTGCGTATACAGACAATATATTTATTCCAAGACAAAGATAAAATTAAATCAATAATATTCATGATAATAAATAAAATACTGCAAGATTTTCAATTTCTATCACAAATTATTTGTAATTACTAATGGCTTCTCTTAAACAACCTTCGTTAATACTGCAATCAATCATGTCTACTTTTAGTTACGTTTCTATACATATACATGTGCACTAATTGTAAGATCACAATTGTTTTATAGTAATTCAATAATTACTTTCCCACCCACTCAACTATTAAATGCAAAGCAGTGATTTTTATGAATTATGTTATTTACAAACTAAATTTTTAAATTATTAGAATGCTACAATAAATAGTTAATTTGTCGAGATACAAAAACTGGCAATGACACGATCTGTAGATGATTCGTCAGAGCATTAACGCCCTAGGTTAAATCTATAATCGTTGTAGTTGTTTCCTGTTTGTTGTTGTTGATTGTACTGCTGTTGGTATTGAATGTTTTGTGCGAGTTGATTATTGAGATGTTGTTGATTATATTGTGCATGGAATGGTTGTTGGAAAATGTGATGGTGCTGTTGGAAATGCTGCACGCCTTGTTGCGGCTGCGGCTGCTGCTGCTGCTGTTGCAGTTGATAATTTGGATTATTATTGTGCTGAAAGAATTGCTGCTGTGTTTGGTACTGACGCTGCTGCTGGAAAGGTTGATACTGCTGCTGCTGATTGAATGGTTGTGGGAAAAAAGAGTGAGGTTGTTGAACAAGGTGCTGATCTCGCTGCTGCGATTGATAGTTAAAATATTGTTGTGGGTTGTTATCCAGCCTGCGGTCTAAGGTCGATTCGACCGACTGCAATATCTGAACATTGGTCCGTCCTATATCCAATGCGCGATTGTTTCGATCGAATTGATTGTGTTGCGATATTTGTGATTGGATCGGCTGAACTGATTGCGCGATGCGACTGAACTGATTGTGAATTGGCGGACGAAATGTGGTCGGTTTTACGTTGGCGTCAAATGCATTATTATTGTTGAACTGTGTTTGCGAATGCGATTGATAGTCGATTTGTGGCTGTGCGCGCGAATTATGGTGACGATGGTGGTCGTTGGCGTTTTCGAAGTTTGATGGCGAAAAATGATGCAGACTTTTCTGTAACAACAGAAAAGAAACAACTCCTAATGGGATTCAAGTGACATTTTGCATGAAGGAAAACAAGTATTAGGATTTTATTTCACACTGGATTGGAGTCTGGTTGATAAAAAAGTAAAAATCTAATCAATTTAAGTATATACAATATTTTACTTTGTTAATGAGATTAGTCTAATAAAAAATATCAACATATATGTAACCACAATCCAATTTGAAAAAGATTAGTTTATACATTGAACATGCCATAAATGTGAACACTCAACAAGAAAGATATAATATCTTACATCTATACATGTATATATACAAAATGCACATACATACCTTCATGCATCATAATTTACATATAATCTTAAAATTAATTACCCAAAATAAATATTTACAGTAAGACTTGCATCTTAGAAGTTCAATGACATGTTCATAAATAGTTTGCAATGTATTTAAAACACACAAATTTAATTATGTAAAGATATAAAAACTAAACGCAATGAATATTATTTACACAATGCAGAAAAAATGCTAATTTTCAAATAATAGCTATTAATAGATCAAGGTAATAAAACAAACAAGCAACACAAAAAATTAAACTATTAATACTTGAGCTAATTTCTGTTTTAATCGTATTATACATAATATGCGAACGAGTTTTTCGAGCTAGCTATTTTTTGTATATCGCGTGCACATGAAGTCCAGAATTACTGCACGCAATGAGGCACGACTAAAAATCGGAACAAAACTACATGTACCGGTATATTCCATCGAACGAACTCTAGGCATGTTGATTAAAATTGTATTGTATAACAAAATAAAAAAATTATCGGAAATATTTGAAACAATCACCCGCTTGCAGTTTCAAAATCATGTGACTCCGAATACTAGCAACCCTTGCATTTTAGTTTTACCAATGCGGTAATTTTTCATTTTTTTGTTAGAAATAGTGCAAGTTGAAAATATTATGCAAAATATATTAGTAGTCTTCGCATAAAAATGCATATATAAATGGTATATAAAACGTTACTAGTACTTTTTTAGATTATGAACTTTTTTATTACTTTACATTAGAGTTTCTATTAGGATTCATACAAGACATTTTCAATCTTGGCTCTAGCTATTTGTAGGTGTATAAAATAAATAGAAATATAGATAATTGTTAAGGGCAAAAGGGGAGACTAGGTACGGTTGTGCAAGATATGGTAGTGACAGTCGCAATAACATCTAAACTATACTGATGGAACAAGTTTCCGTTACTGCATTGCATCTAAAGAGACAAAAAGGATTCTTGGTTCGATTTCTTTAAATAATAACTGTTACTTTTATACAGATAGTTCACTTTGTTTTTCATTTTGCTGTAAGTGGCATGTGGTTGTGGGTCTTGTTTTTCACAGATAAAGAAAAACCTAACTTTACTATTTTAAGACAAAATACGAAGAGGAAAAGAAAAGGAAAATTCAATATAAGTAAACAAAAATTTCACAAAGATTCCTTATTAACAATTTTGAAAAATTATATTTTGCTCTATACTTTTATATTATATTCAGAAGCTCTGTTTGAATTATTATTATGTATCGTTTGGTAACATATTTCTGACAGTTAAAGTCGTTATAAACCACTTTGGTGTTGATTTTTTGTTCGATTTCTTTAAACAATTACTGTTACTATTATACAGATAGATCACTTTGTTTTTCATTTTGCTGTAAGTGGCATGTGGTTGTGGGTCTTGTTTTTCACAGATAAAGAAAAATCTAACTTTATTATTATAAGACAAAATACGGAGAAGAGGAAAGGAAAATTCAATATAAGAAAACAAAAGATTTCACAAAGATTCCTTATTAACATTGTTTGAAAAATTATATGTTGCTCTATATTGTTATATTATATTCAGAAGCTTTGTTTAAATGTTGTGACACTCGCCCTTTACTTGGGTAATTTGATTTTATGACTAATCCATTGTCTTCAATGACAGTAAGGACGAAGTGCGACGTTCAAATTACCATTTAATATACTTTTCTTCCAGATCAAAAAAAAAACACAATCGTACAGTCTCTCCTATATAATTTATCTAATATCGCATAATAAAAATTAATAAATTTTCATACCAATTTTAAATTAAATAAATATTTTGAAACCTTTCAATAATATATCTGTGATACGCTGTATATAATTTAATTAAAGTGCTAAAGTAACGTTATCGCATGAATCGCATGAATTGCGAATAAATAATTCAGAAATATCCAAATATCGATTGGATGCTGTATGATCAATTAAGGCTGTTTTAATACGCGTTATTACGATTTTCTGCGAACGCGCGTTTTATGGTCTGTAAATAATTATATATTATTCGCAGTGGCACGCTTCGGCGATTTGTGCCGCTACGTGCGCATGGTCAATGCGCTCGTAAATACGCGATCAAGTTCACGTACAAATTTTATATACACAATAATAGATATATAGTTTCATGGTACAACACTATAATATTTACACAAATCATAAAAGTTATTTGTTTTGCCAACAATAATTCCAAACTGCCAATTTGCTCTGAAATCATTTAAAAATACTGTTAGCGACATCGTAACGATATGAAATAAAATCGCTGCCGGCATTTAAAAATGTCACATAAATGCTATATTTTTCAATTAAATTTACGTAAACTATAGTTTTTCTATTATTGAAAACGTATTAAATACGATATGATTTATAACGAACAATTTTAAATTACCGCATTATCACTTTTCAAAAATCAAGTTCACATAACGCGTCAATAAAGTACCTATACAAACTAAACAACAATGTAAAAAAATTGCGTAAACTGCATTTATATGAGCAAATAGTACTATAAACATATGCAAAAGATTTTATGATATAATAGTCATGAATAAAATTTGGATTCAACTAAAATAAATTACGTTTTGTAAATTATTATGGCAATGGAAACCAGCTAATACTGTGAAATTCTAAAAAATATAATAGAGACATTTATTTTTTGAAAAATGTACATTAACTGCAGAAACTTTAGTCGAAAAGGATTCGGAAACGTGATCAGCACAAAATATTTACATCAAAAATCATAAAAAGCAGCAAATAGCGATACGATAAATTTGTAGTAGGCGAGGCTGGGTACGGTTGTAACGGCAGTAATAGTCGTCATGGGATCGCCCGTAGGTAAACGGTTAAGAGCGATGGGACTTGAATCAGAGGTCCCGGGTTCGATACCCACTTCGAGCAGCCTGTTGACAGTTCACGATTTTTACTTGAAAATATAGATAGTAATATGTTTCCAAGTGAAAATAGCCCACACCCGGCATTGCTGTACCAATAAAAATACTCGCCCTATTACAGAAATTGTAATAATAATATATATCATACAGAGAGTGACAACTGATTGGGTTGCCATTTGTCAAACAGACTAGTATTAAGTCAAATTAGCACAACAGCTTATAAGACTATTGGGTTCTGATTGCTGTTCAAAAATAACTAAAAAAAACAGTCGACATAACAGCAAAACTACACTGATTTACATAAAGGGTCCAAGCGGAAAAAAAGTTCCCATTATGGCCTTCAGTTGGCGCTCTAAGTTAACATGATCTGTAGACCGCATAGCTTTTAAAGAGTCAAAAGTAAGTTTTTCCGTTCGATTTCTTTTAAGAATAACTATTACTTGTATACAGATAAATTACTATGTTTGTAAAACATTAGTAGTTAATTACCAGCAATCAGTTTTTGTGAAGATAATTTAGCTCGATTATAACGATATTTTGTCTCCAAAAGTGTGCGTTGGGTAAAGATGAAACAATAAACTTTTTAACACAACTAATCCAAAATGCAAGGAAAGGGAAAATTCAGCGTAAGAAAAAAAAAGTTTTGCAAAGATTTCTTATTGACTTTGTTTGAAATATTATATTTTGTTATATATTGTTAAAGTAAATTCATGAGCGTTGTGTAAATGGTTATGCCGTGTTGCGTTACATATTTATGGCAATAAAAGTCGTTATAAATCATTTTGGTGTCGCCAATTTATTGTTTTACCAACAAGTGTTACTTATTGTTTTTTAATCCATTTTTATTAAGGCTGATCAAAATAAAGTGGCACAACCGTACCTAGTCTTCCCTATAGTACCGTTTGTTTATTTGTATATGTAACATGTCAGTTAAATGATAAATAACACACGATTTATGGAAAAAATTAATGAGTACGCCATGAGCTTGCAACTGCACTTATTGCCATTAATTCAACATTACCCGAGTCAAAATAAGAAATCTAGTTTTATAACATACCATTATTCCTTCGAGAAATGAAACTAAACAAGGAGAAAACACTAGTTCCGGCTAGTTTTACGGCCAATCTTAAGACTCGGCAGATCTCTCATATGATACCGACATTACTTAGCAATTCCTGCAGCATCGCGACCGCTAATAAAACGAAACTTTGACTTTTCCTGCAATTGTATAAAACTCTCCAGTTCACGTCCGTGCTCTTGAACATTTTGCAGATTAAAACCTCGGTGATATGAAATGTTAAATTAAAATTAAATCTTAAACGACACCTGCACTTTTTCCCTTGCGCTAGTAATTTTTATAACGGTATTCATTTTAGTCTTAATAATGTTGTATGACTATGCATTAAAACAAGGCTATGACATAGCATTATGTACGCATGTATTTACTTTCTAATTTTGCGGTTAATTAGATAAAATAATTGCAACTGGATATAAGAGAATCTTATTCCGAAGTGAAAATTTGTCAATAGATAATACAATTCTAACTATGGTAACTAGATGTAATAAAGTTATGAATATGGAGGGCTCTAATCGATTTAGATATTTAATGGTATGATATAAGTCTTGCTAATCTATATTATATATATATATTCTAATGCTCCCTAATATAATATCAGCAACAAATACACCTACCCTCGTTCAATATGATGTGCAGAGTGCAACATACCTATAACCGTGATGTAAGTTGAACATATCGTTTTAACTTAGAATTACAAAAATTAATGATCAATAAATATGAAAAAAAATGCACGCAAAATAATCTATATACTATATACAACTTCCACTTACTTGAGGACTGACACCCAGCATTTTAAGTGACGGAGGAACATTCATTTGAGAAGGAATCTGTACGTGTCCGAAGTCCACGGTAAAGGCTTCACACCACACACCGAAATGCCCAATGTCGAAAACTGTTAATTCTCCAGGTAAAGTTAAAACGATCGTTTTGCGATCGTATTTCCGCAATGGGACTTCTTTGCCATTTTCGTCAGGAATGCGAATGCCATTTGGAGACGGTTTTGGTCCACGGCCTACCCAAAACTTTGCATCTGAAACAAAATTCGCATTATATATATATATATATATATATATATATATATATATATATATATATTCGTCAGTAAAATAATTATATAACAAAGTAGCCAATTTACCAATTTAAGGAATCAATATATATTGGCAAATATTCACTTAGTACATGTCAATTGCCAGTTCTCAATTTATCACACAATTGCAAAACAAGTATAAAAAACCATTTAAAAAAGTCTCACTTCTAATGTAGTATATACATACTATATTAAGTTTTACTTTTCTATTGCGTTCTTATTATGGTGTGTATATTTCTGTTATATATTTGCTAAGGTTTAACGACTTTACAATTTTGAAATATATTCCGATCAAAATAAGTCATCTCAATGCAGTCTAGGTTATAATAATTAAAATAAATTATAAGGTTTAATTCTCCACTTCAGTAATAAATTATTTTTTTCAATGAGTTACATTATAATTTTCTAGTAATTTTATAATTTATTCTCTTATACCGGTAATGTATTACCGGTAAAATATAAAAATACAATCCAAATGCAAAATAACAATATACATATACTCGTAGATGCAAATCTACTATATGATGTGCTTGGCAGTAGCTTATTCCATAATTATTTTAGCGGTTTTAAAATATATTTTTTTAATTCATTACGAACATCTTTCAATAAATTCATCCACATAATATACTATATAATAGCTTATGGAACAATAAAACGGTATAATTAAATAGTTTTTAAATTTTATAAGTTATTACTGCCAATAATATTTTTATAACTAAATACTGCCAAAAACGAGCTATGTCATAAAAAGTCTATATTTATATAAACAAATATAAAACAGATATTCCAATGAATATTCAAGAAAAGTTGATTATCAGTTACTAATAACGCAAAATTCGAAAAGGTGGTCTTATAACTAGTTATGCTGTCGTGCAAACTATTAATAACCAATAATTCGATACATTAACATAAATTACTTTAAATAGCCAAAGAAGCCAAGTTACAAGTTGAATTAAAAAAAAACTAGACATTAATGCCAATCCGTGTCATTGCTAATAAATGTAGAATGTTGATCAAATGCAATAAAAAGCAACCGAGAATTATGTATAATTACACGTGTGCCATGTGTTTTGTAACATGCTATTAAAATACACTACAAATCATGTGTTACATACGCCACAATTAATTCCTCGGTTCGTAAATCTCAACTGCTTTTACTATGACCTGTCACAAAATACAACAACCGCAGACTCAAGATTGATTGTCAATCAATGCTGATGATGGCTAGCGATAATAATACATTTAAAATTTATTTGCACTGCGATTTATTTACGCTTGACAAATATGTTTTTACATCGGCATAGTCACGAAAAACTTTCACCGATGGCAATTGTTGACTTTTGAATTTCGGTGCCGAAATTCAACCACCGATTCTGCACGTGTTTTAATTTTGGAACTCGAATTGCAAACCCGTGTAAATTGACAATGACATTTGGTGTAAATAGACCGACACGAAGCACGAGTGGAATTCTATCTGGTTAACCAACGGAGATCGTTTTTTCTGTTGTTTTGTTTTCAATTTCCCTTTGATTAAAAGAAAGAGATTGACGTATATTTTTAAATCAACATTTAGCACTCGATTCTAATTTAAAACAATTCATGGCCTGCGGATTGAAAACAAAATCATTCGCACTAATTAACGCTGGACATTCGAACAATCCTTTTTTTGACTATAAATCAAAATAAAACGAGACAAAATAGATAAAAAAACATGCGACAGTTTACATATCATATATTTTTATTTACCGTAAGAGAGTAAACTACAAGTTCAGTTCTAATTAATATCTGGAAAAAAAAATTCAAATTTTGACTATATATATATATGTTTATAAGTATATATCTTCGACTTTCTTCATAAAAAAATATTTGTAGCAATATCACTTTTATCATAAAAATGTGATTAGATAGCGATCTTTATTGGGTTTGCAATACACCTTACGTTTTATAAATTTTAACCATTTTTAACTAAGCAAACATTTTTATGGACATTTGAAAAACGTGATATAGTTTAAAAATCGATAAAATAACTTTAAAATTGCATTATCTATTCTTAAAATAGAAAAACAGATCCATTTCCAGACACCCTTTATATAAGCAAAATACTGCTGATTTTTCTATTTTATCTTTCTATTCTTAAAATAAAAAAACAAATCCATTTCCAGACACCCTTTATATAAGCAACCAAAATACTGCTGATTTTTCTATTTTGTATACTTCCTTAAATGCTTTAACGATAATTTATTAGCTGCTAGATATACGTGTGAAACATGTACAATATTTATATAGATTAACTACATCTTAGTTCATGTATAAAAAGTGTAAGCAGAAATTGTTGTCGTTTTTTACATTATGGTGTATACGAAAAACAATTATAATTCAATATTTAACAATAAATGAGAAATAGCTTCAAAATTTAATATATTAAAATAATATGATGCAATCAACATAGAAATTTTAAACAAAACACTACACAGAAATTATACAGAGAATGCAAACTAAAATGAGACATAAAATATCGAGAACAATACTCGACTCTCCCTGGTATGTCACTAATCAAACTGTCTACGGCGATCTGAAAATGTTGACTATGTACGAAATCTACCTAAACCAACAAAATATTGCAACAGATTTGAGATGTACCTAAATGAATATTCAAAGGACATCCTTAGCCCCCGCCAAAACTCAAGTTTAAAGAGAAAATGGCCTCTAGATAATAAAAAATTACAATAAATAAAGATACACCTAAGTCTGTTTTTACACGGTCTTTTTGTACACGGTTTTGATATAACACGGTTTGAAAATTGAATAGTTTTAATTTTTTTACACGATTTTATTCCATTTAGCATGATTTGAAATTTTATGTACTTAAATTTTTTTGTCAAATTTAATTTTTGCGAAGAATGTTCATATCACAAAAAAGTATTTATGAAAGAAAAAAGTCTGAAACCATCGATAGTATCGATAGTTTGCGAACACTAGCTTAAAGATTTAAGTAAATTCCCCTTTAGTGCGTACAAACAATTTTTACTGGTCAAAGCAAATGTGAATAGCACTAATTTAGGGGAATTATTATTAAAATAAACATGAATTCTTGTTCTTGAAAATACTTGTTTTTCACTAATTTTAATAGGTTTTAGAGAGTAGGACAAATCACCCATTTTTGTATAAGATCAATGTCTTTTTTTACACGGCTTCTTCTGGAACCAATCTCCGTGTAAAAACAGACTTAGGTGTATACATTTTAAACAACATATTGAAAGATAGATCAGTAGATCCTATCTTATTTGAACATTCACTTGGTCTTCACTTTCGTTTATAAAAATATTGTAATTTTTCTGATTGCTAAATTAATCTATTACAATAATAACTAGTTGGTATTGGTATTTTGCCTTGAGGCAAGTTATATGAACTTCCCGAAATGTGTAAATAATCGGCTTAATCAATAAAAAATAAATTAATTTATGTGTGATTAAAGTATGAAAACGAACGAACACGTTAACTCGGAATATATTCTAAGAGCAAATTTTCAAAAATCAACACTTTTTATAATTAAAGCAGTTACCGTAGGACTTTAATAGTTTAGTATATTCATTAAGACCAAGTACTCTATCGTATATTATATCGTATATTATACCAAGTAAATCGTCTAATTTTAATTTTAACAAACGTCAAAAAAAACTACTCATGTTGTCAAACTTTGATGAATTTTTACAATTAAACTACTTGTCGTAAGGCCGTAATATTTCAGTAAGTTCTATAAGACCATGATATATATCGCCAAAAAAAGTCCAATAAAAATCGGCTTAATTTCTTTTCAACAGTTGATTACAAGAAAACGGCTTGGTAGATTTTCATCTAAAACTAATCAGTATCATGTCCAACTAATATCTTTCGAACAGTTTGTGATTTTTCAAAATCGATTCGGTAGTATGAGCTTAAATGTGGACGAAACGTTTAACACTTTTCTCTAAACGACAAAGAAACGGCTTGGCAGATTGTCGCACAAAACTGACAAACGATAGTCCTCATCGAGATACATCGAATGGCTTTTAAATTTTTGAAATCGGTCCAGCCGTTTTTGAGAAATCGTTTTTTTTGGTGAAAACAAACTTCTTCGGGAAGTTGATAATAACAATACATGATTACTTGAAATGGCACTATCAAATATTATAGAAATAGCTTCAGAATAATGCTAGTTTCATACTCACCGGGTGCTTCACCATCGTAGCTAAAGTTAGGTACAAGTAGAGTCTGAGCGTCCACAATAACAATGTTGTCAGAGGAAACTCCATGGACTCCGGATAGTCCAGAGATCTTCTGTGGCTTCGGGAATTCAAATCCTTTTGGTATGCGAACATCGCCAAAATTGACGGCAAATTCATCGCACCAAACAGAAAACCAGCGTATGGAGTTAAGCGTCTGTCCCTCTGGTAGCGAAAGCGTGATGTCTTTGTCGCGGTAACGACGCAACACGCCGGTACTACCGCGCTCATCCCGCAAACGGAAGCCGTTCGATCCGGGCGCCTTCGAAGTGCCGGCGTAGAAGTAAGCGGCTGAAATATGATACAGGGTGAGTAATGATATGTCGTTAATGTTATAGCAGGAACATATTATGTAATTTAGATACACGTTTGATAAGTTGATACATTACTGTATAAGCTTAGATTTTTTGATAGTCATTGTTGCTTTTATACCAGATCACGTATTGAATCCAGCGTCGAGCAAAGAATTTTTGAAGTGAAACTTCTTTACGCGCGACTAGGGTGTAAATCCCTACAAATGCAACGGAAGTGCGTTACGGCAGAGTCGAGTGCCAATGATTCGTCATTCGCTCTCGATGATATCATTTCTATATGGGTCGAATATGATTAGTCGTTGTGTATGTGAATAGAGATCTGTCGTTGTATGCGTACCGATACCAACAAGGAAATCGGCATAGATAAATAAACATTTTACATCGTAGTACAAATGTTGATTTAATGAAAAATGCCTGAATCAGAAGAATATTTTACCCTGTTCCTTGAAAATAATTAAACAAATTAAACATTTGTACTTAACGTAAATTTATTGATTAGAAATTATTTCTATATTATTCGTAGTTTCTATAAATCTTTGAAGTTACTAAAATGAAAAATATTTTTTAGGCAAGACAGATATTACAGCTGTTTAAAGAATGATATATCGCCAGCTAAAAAGTAAAAAAGATACACGCAGTCAATGAATGTATGTTAATTTTAATTACATGAAGTTCTTCAAACATAATTACATTATGAGTGAAGTTGCGAAAACAATATTTGTTTAGGCGTTGTTTAACATAATCCACTGTGTGAACAAATATTATCGAATTTATTAATCAACAATTAATTCATTTCTCTAATGAAGGTTCATTTCTAAATACTAATTACAATGACAAACCGATCATGTCATATTTGAAGTATGACTTTAATTACATTTAGTTTTTAAATATTATACTTATTTTTAATGCTATTATAAATATATAACTTATAATTCATCATTATATAAATGTGAATAATAGTTTATTTAACTTTGTACAGTAGCAAATAAGTTTTACTTCAACCGTGTGTGATTCTAACGCGCACTCTAGTCTCTAATAAACTAGTTCGCCCTTCATTCGGGGTATTTAATTAAACTTAATAATACACCTATTTAGGGTAAAACGAGGCTTAAAGATCCGCGTATAAGTCGACTACCAATATTTCAAAAACAAGTAAAGATGAGAATTTCACAACAACATTTGAAAGTAGAGGAAAAAATGTATAACCAGCCATCACCTTGATTCCTAAGACGTCGCTATCGGGAAATAAACGACAATATTTAAAAATCAGTAACAAAAGAATTTCTTTCGTTGATCGTTTTTTCTTTTTGGTTGTGAGCACTGTTTTTCAATTTACGGAACCTTAATATAATTTTTTAATCAAAGTTATTCAGTTATTTAATAAAATGTATTGTTAAGTTAGATTCAACAGTTTTTTCATATCTCACCTATAAAAACTTATACGTGAGTGGAGTAAAAAGGACTAACATAACATTACCCTGACAAAGGTGTAAACAATAAACAATAGCAAATAAAAAAGTAAATTAAGTTAAAAAAGCAATTTTACAAGAGATAAATTAGATAAATAATTATTCCAACTCCGCTGATGAATATTTGTGGAAAATTACCAGATAAAGGTTATATTCTGTGTTATTTCTGTGAAAAATTTACCTATAAAATTTATATTTTGCATTGTTTGGATAAATATTTCGTAAAATCCCTTATAAATTAAAAATAAGACATAGGACCTGTTTGCCCCCTGTCCGTCCCATTTTACCCAGTAAAAAGGAGCGGTAACAAATTTTTGAAAAACAGCAAAAACAGCATGTATACAATGATGAATTAGCTGGGCTTTACTGAACATAGGTAGATAGTTTTTGTTTGATATGTATAATTTGTTGTGATATATTTGGTTTGGTTTCACAATATAATTGCTCCATGTCAAATTGGACCTTTGGGCCCCTCGCTACTCTATATCAGATAAAATTACTAAAAAATCTTGTGTTTCTTCTTTGCCAATTTTTTAATCATTTTCAAATATTGTGTGATTGCTTTTTGAAGTAGTTTTATATGCACATTGTTTATATTAATTTGATTTAAAAGATGTTATACTATATTATATATTCTGTAAGTAAGTTCGTAACATGTACATATCAAGAATAAAATGACATGTAGTGACAGAAAAGTCTTAGATATTACTTCTTGAACTACAAAATCTATCATTAATCAACTCTGACACAAAAAAATAATTTAGTATCATTAGTAAATTTAATTAAACTAGCGAGAACTATTCGTAGCTTATCAGTATCCATTACAGTTTTCTTCAAAAAAATCTGACACAAAAAAATAATTTAGTATCATTAGTAGATTTAATTAAACTGGCGAGAACTCTTCGTAGCTTATCAGTCCATTACAGTTTTAGCAGTAGTAGCGACAAGTATAATATATAACATACAAATTGCAAAGTGTTAAAAAAATATGCACAGTCAAAAACTTCTTGAAGCATCATACATTCCCGCCGACAACTTTTATTAAAATTACTCACTGCTGTTACAAAACCGCATCGGTCATAGTTCAGATATTACTCACTTACATCAACAGACAACGGTAAAAACAATTTATTACAATTCTCTATAAAAAGTGGTATTTTGCTATCTAGACAGATTGTCTGCTGATAAAAAATGTTCTGTTAATTGAAACTGGTACTCGCACACGCTATGTAGCCTTGGTACATATAAAATAAAAATATACAGATGAAAAAATTAAGCACAAAATGAGTGATTATGATTGGGATATGTACATAATAAAAACAATTAATACACAATATGTGTGTTACGAGATACAACGCATAGATTTGTATCTCGACCTAAAATATGATTCATATTGAACTAAACTAGTGGTATATGGCAAAATAATAAAACAAATTAAACATTTGTGCCGTAAGTTTATTGATTAGAAATTATTTCTATATTATTAGTAGTTTCTATAATTCTTTGAAGTTATTAAAATGGAAAATATTTTTTAAGCAAGTCAGATATTACAGCTGTTCAAAGAATGAGATTATATCGCCAGCAAAACAGTAAAAAATACAAGCACTCAATGAATGTATGTTAATATTAATTACATGAAGTTCTTCAAACACACTCACATGATCAGTAATGTTGCGAAAACAATATTTGTTTAGGCGTTGTTTAACATAATCCACTGTGTGAACGAATATTATAGAATTTATTAATCACCAATTACTTCATTTCTCTAATGAAGGTTCATTTCTAAATGCTAATTACAATGACAAACCGATCATGTCATATTTGACGTATGACTTCATTAACATTATTGTTTTTAAATATTATACATATTTTTAATGCTATTAAAAATATATAATTTAAAATTTATCAATATATAAATGTGAATAATGGTTGACACTAATAAATGTGTGCATCACGAGTGTTACCTTGTTACAAATAAACATTATTCAAAATTGTTATATGATGTATTTATTTTTACTTAAATGCCATCTTGTACAGTGGGAAATAAGTTTTACTTCAATCGCGTGTGAACCTTACACACGCACTCTTTCTTTGAATCACTCTAATCGGATGCGCTGTTTTCTTAAAAACTTTCCTTCTTTGCACTTTGTGCTCCGTATTTTCGAAACTGCGCTCAATCAATACAAGTCAAATGTTTTTTTAATTATTCTAATCGGCCGCTCCGTTCTCTCAAAATGAATTGTCATTTTTTGCACTTTTTTGCCGTATCTTCATAACCGTAATATTAAAATATATAACAAAAAAATTGTTTTTTGTTGTTCTTAGAAAATATACTTGGATTAAAAAAACGTAAAGTTTATTTTCTGAGTTTTTTGGTCCATACATAGGAATATTTTTCGACATTTAACATCCCTGTAGCATTTTCTGTCCCCTGCATATTTTTGCTAATCAAGTTGTCATTCATAAAAATAATCCCAAACGCTCTCACTTATTTTTTATGTTCAAATTCTATTATTTAATAAAGAGGACCTTTATCAAAGGATCAATCCCCAAATATGTAACTTTATTAAGTTGGTGTTCAAGTACACTTTTCAAATTTACTATCATTACATGTACCATCGTCAAAATTTTAAAAGTCCAATGTTTTTACGATATTGCTGAGTATAAACAATATATGATATAATTCAAGTTAAACTTTTCCCCATTTTCTTTATCAAAATAACCATCATTTAATTTCTATATCATCAATAATTTTATTCTCTTTTTAACTTTATTTTTCATTTTGAATACGGAACATTATATAATCTTGGTACAAGTAATCTGTCTTATTATGTATTTTTAATTATTGTCAATTGAATATCATAATTTTATTGTTAGGATTAATTTCGTCTTAGTGTTATTTTTTTTACTGTAAGAAGTTTTAACCTGTATCCGAATAAACATAATTAAATGAATAAAATATTAAATAAAAAAACACTTCGAAAAAAAACGGAATTAAAATTAATTAAATCATAAATAATATTAATTGATCAGAAAAAGTTATAGATATATATATATATATATATATATATATATATATATATATATATATATTGTTTATAATTTATACGTAGATCAGCACGCATATATAATCACCTGAATGCACATATACCTATAAATATGTAAAATATGATTAACAATGACCTAGTTCGTCTCGCGTTGATTTGGATAATTTATTTCAATCGATGATTTGCATGCAATCAACAACTTCTATGCCGCTGAATTATCTCGTGTTGCAAGTGAAATTGTAGAAAAATTCGTTCGATTTATTTCTAACGTGCACTTTCATGCATCTTGAGTGCTTTATTGTTACTGGAAGTACAATAATTTCACTACTTTAGAAACTTGTATAAAAGTGCAATAACTTATTGTTATTGCTAGGACTACACACGTTTTGCATTAACTACTTAGAAAATGAAGGAAATTTTAAAATCGTCTACAACTTTGAATGTATACAGTTTTCAATTTA